CACGGCAAGGGGTGTAGGATGAGTGTGGATGAGTGTTTGATGGGTGGAAGATGGTGGAAAGCTCGGCAAGAATGGTGGATGGGTGCAGCAGATTGTAGACTAGGGTTTCTGGAATGTAGAATGAATATGGCAGATGGTTCTTCGGCCAAGAGGTTATAATGTGTATATATAGGCATCCAAAACCCTAGGGCAATCAGATTAGGGCCTCTAAAACCCAAATCCATCAGAAATTAGGTTAAAACAATAAGATTTTTAGTGGGAAAAAAGCCTAGGGTGCGGCTGGTTTGCTAGGGGTTAGAGATGGGCCTTCTAGAATGCCTTGCAAGGCAAGGAAATCAGGTATTCTAGAAGGCTAGGTGCGGCAAGGGTTAGGGTGATCAGATTAGGCAATGGGCTAGGGTTTAGGTGCGGCAAAGGGTGAAGATCCACAAGGAATTAGGGTTTAGGTCCACTTAGTTGTAGAAAGGGATGTGTATAACCCAAATCCACAAGGAAAGGGCCTAACAAGTCAGAATTCAAGAGAGATTGGGCTAGGTAGGTGCGGCTCCAATCTAAGAGGGTAAGGATGGGTCATCTAAAAGCCCAAAGCCACGAATAGAAACTCTCGAAAATGGAAACCTCCAAGAATAGAAACTTCCAACTTTAGAAACTTTGGTTTCCAATTCCGAATTCTTTGTTCTTCACTTTCATTTCTTCATTTCTTAAGCTCCTTTGACCTTCAAACTCATCAATTCCTTGTGCTCCATAAGCATACACAACATTCCAGCTCAATTTTGCTCTAAAATGCTCCATTTCGCACTTCTTTGCATACTTTGTCTCTAAAACCTGAAACTGCACGAAAATGACTTTAAACACTTAAAATAACTAAAGAAAAACAACATAAATGCACAAGAACAAGCCAACTAAGTCGCATAAATATGCTCCTATCACTGACTCATGTGCAGGACTTGACTGACCATACTGGTCACATTAGGTGACTCCGGCTGATATGTCATTTTATATTGATTCATTTCACTTGGCTTACTTATGCATTGTGGAGATGATTGACATGGCATACATGTGGATTTTGCTACTCTCAAGCATGGTTCTTATATACATACGTAGTCCTATTTTCTAGGAAATTATACGGGTTTTACGGTGAGAGGTTATTACTTTTTGTAAAGATAAATTTTTTTGAAAAGCTTTGTTTATACCCACTTAAAATTTTTTGTTTTACGCCTCTCCAGGTTCTAGATAGAAGATCTTGCTGGTGGCTCACAAGGATTTCGCGACGGTTCTGACAGATATCCATCAGTGTAGGGTTTCTTTTACGATCTGTATAATTAGTAATTAGACTTTTGGACTGTATTTTGATACCTACGCCCTGGTTGTGTATACATCTACACTCTAAACACTTTCACTCGTACTTATATGCCAGTCTAGTGTAAATTAGTTAGTTGGTTTTTGTTTACCCACATTTTTATATCACGTTCACTTCCGCACAACGTACATGACTACGTCACCCTCACATGACGGCTAGCATGCCTTAATTGGGGTCGGGGTGTGTCAGTTTGGTATCAAAGCCTAGGTTTGGCAGTCCTGCATATTTTGTGAGTATTCTAATCATTTTGATGTCTTATTTTAGAACTATGCCGCCTCGTAGAGAGCCACATACTTCAGCTCAGTCTAGTTTTTCCTATATTACCAAACTTGGGGAGGCTATTGCTAGTGCCATTCAGTCCTCACTCCATCCTCCCCAGGGGACTCCCTTGGAGACGGTATATAAATTGAAGTTGAATAATTTTGTTGGTACTGAGAGGCCCGAGGGAGCTAAGCATTGGCTCAATCATGTTGAGAAAACTTATCAAGTGATGTAGAGGCAAGGGAATTTCCCTGAGGATAGGTGGGTAGAGACGACTACCTGGTTTTTAGGAGAGGAGCCTGCATCCTGGTGGAGGTAGGAATCTTTTTAGTTATCACCCAACAAAGTTGTAGACTGGGAGATTTTTAAGCAGTTATTCCAGAAGAGATTTATACCTTCAGAGTATATAGATCGTAAGACGCAAGAATTCACTCCTCTAAAGCAAAGGAAGATGTCAGATAATGAGTACTACATAAGAAGCAAGAGTTCACTAACTTATCTCGGTATTGTCCAGAGATTGCTGAGAATCCTGTCGAGATGGTTCGACCATTTAAGTAGGGCACGCAAAAGAAATGGTGTTCTATGGCGACCATGACTCCCTGCTCTACATATTAGGAGTTTTATAAGATTCTATTGCGAGTTGAAGATTCTGAAAACAGGCCCGGTGACAGTGAAGAAGAGGAAGAAAAAATAATAATCAGAAGATAAACAATAATAAAGATAAAGGTCTGTCATTTCAAGAACCTCGAAAGACGTAGAGTTTTAAGAGAAGTGGTACTAGTTCTAGTTCTTCAAGTGGGGGTTTGTGTTCCACGGTGCAGCGGAAGGGTGATTGTTCAGGCGGTTCTCACTTCTAGGGATAGAAAGGTTCTAGTGGCTCTGGTGGTCCATTTTGCCGTAGATGTAACAGTCGACATTTTGTAAAGTGCAAACAAGGTAACAGAAGATGTTTTACTAGTGGCTAGATGGGACATCGGGCTATTCAGTGCCCACAGAATCAGCAGAAATCTCACCCATCTGCCTTGCCACCACCAGTTCCTATTCAGTAGGTTCTTGGGTCTAGTGGTTATACCCAGACGGGTTATGGTGGAGCAACCATTATCAGGATGATATAGCTCTATATTCTGGAGGACAGTATCTTTATCCACACAACCTATATCAATAGGGAGGTTATTCTTAGTATCCAGAAGGTTACATGTCATATCCTTCATATTCAGCTGATGGATCATAGTGGTATCCTGAAGGACAATCCCAGAATGTTGAAGTTGCTTTTAGCAGTGCAGGATCATTGAGGCAGCCTAACCAGCCTGGTCAGGGACGAGGTGCACAAGGACATGGAAATCAAGCTAACAGAGGTCATGGAGGACAACAACAACAATAAGGCCGTGTTCACCATATCACTTTACAGGACGCTAAGAATAACCCTGTTCTGATTATGGGTACATTAAATATCCTAGGTCACTTTGCTAGAGTATTAATTGATTCTGGTGCTACACATTCTGTTATTTCTCATATGTTCGTTCAGACGACGCAACCCTACCTTACACCACTTGGGTATAAGTTAGTGTATTCGATGCCTAGAGGTGAGATGTGTTATGTTAGTTGTGTGTGTCATGGATGTCCTATTTTGGTGGTGGACATCATTATGCCGACTAATCTGGTTCCATTGGATATAGTGGATTTTGATGTTATCCTTGGCATGGATTGGTTACACTATAATCGTGCCAAGGTGGATTGTTATGAGAAGATAGTCACTTTTCATTGGTCGGGATTACATGTGGTTACCTTTGTGGGTATACATAGTGGTGTGAAACACAACGTTATTTCTGCCATGCGAGCCAAACGGTTATTAAAGAAAGGTTATCAGGGTTATTTGGCTCATGTGGTGTTAAACGAAGATACGCTTGTTCGTGTGGATGATGTTCGGGTAGTTAGACATTTCCCTGATGTTTTTCCTGATGATTTACCTGGGTTACCACCAAACAGAGAAGTGCAGTTCACCATTGATTTACTTCCAAGTACATATCCTATTTCCTTAACTCCATATTGAATGGCTTCTGCGGAGTTGAGGGAATTGAAAACTCAGTTGTAGCAATTGGTTAATAAAGGTTTTATTCAGCCTAGTACTTCACCCTGGGGAGCTTCAGTTTTATTTGTACCAAAGAAAGATGAGACTTTAAGGTTGTGTATTGATTATCGACAGTTGAATCGGGTAACGATTAAAAACCATTATCCATTACCGCGTATTGATGATTTGTTTGACCAACTTTGAGGTGCCAGCGTGTTCTCTAAGATTGATTTGAGGTCTGGGTATTACCATTAAAGATCAAAAGTGAAGATGTTCCTAAAACGGCTTTCAGGACTCGGTATAGTCATTACGAATTCCTCATGATGCCATTTGGGCTAACAAATGCACCCGCATGTTTTATGGATTTAATGAATTGAGTACTTAAGTCGTATCTCAATAGGTTTGTTATCATCTTCATTAATGATATTTTGGTGTATTCTAAGTCTAAAGCGGAGCATACTCGACATCTCACTTTGGTTTTGAAGAAATTGAGGGAACACCAATTATATGCTAAGTTTAGCAAATGTCAGTTTTGGTTAAACCAAGTAGCATTTCTGGGGCATGTAATATCAGCTCAGGGCATTCAGGTGGACTCACAGAAAATAGCTGCAATTGAAAATTGGGAGTAGCCACGAACCGTCACCGAGGTATGGAGTTTTCTTGGCCTAGCAGGTTATTATCGACGGTTTGTTAAGGATTTTTCTACTATAGCTTTGCCCTTGACGAGGTTGACTAGAAAGAATGTAAGATTCAAGTGGGATAATGATTATGAGTGGAGTTTTCAGCAACTGAAGTATTGTCTCACTCACACATCGGTGTTAGCACTTCCAGATGATGGTGGTAACTTTGAGATTTACAGTGATGCCTCCTTGAATGGTTTAGGTTGTGTGTTGATGCAACATGTTAGGGTGATTGCTTATGCTTTGCGACAGTTGAAGCCTTATGAGATGAATTATCTTTCTCATGATCTTAAGTTAGCAGCCATTGTATTTGCCTTGAAGATTTGGACACATTATCTTTATGGAGAAAAATGTAAGATTTTCACGGATCATAAAAGTCTTCAGTATCTTTTCACCCAGAAAGACCTTAATCTTTACCATCGAAGGTGGAAAGAATTGCTCAGCGATTATGATTGCACAATTGAGTATTCCCTGGTCGTGCAAATATGGTGGCAGACGTGCTTAGTAGGAAATCTAAAGGCCAACTTAAAGCCTTATATACTTGCCGTGTCCCTTTTCTTACAGAGTTTATTTAGGAGTAATGGATAGAGAGGAAGCTTAACTTGCTAGTTTCCAGGTGAGGCCAATTTTGATGGATCGTGTGTTAGAAGCTCAAGCGGAGGATGAAGAGTCTCAGGAGTTAATAGAGGCAGTGTCACGAGGGAAGAAGAAAGATCTTAGAATTTGGGAATCTGATGGCATGCTTATGCAAGTAAGCCGGATGTACATACTGAATATTGCAGAACTAAAGAAAGATATCCTTGATGATGCGCACATATCGGCGTATGTGATGCATCCTAGGAGTACCAAGATGTATCACACTATTAAAGCTTTCTACTATTGTCCAGGCATGAAAAGGGAGATTGCTGAATATGTGAGTAGGTGTGCAATTTGCTAGCAAGTTAAAGTTGAAAGTAAGAAACCTTTTGGATTACTGCAGCCACTTCCTATTCCCCAGTGGAAATGAGAAAATATTACTATGGATTTTGTGTACAAGCTTCCCTGTACGCGAAATGGATATGATGGCATATGGGTCATAGTGGATCGGCTTTCTAAGTAAGCACACTTCATACCAGTTCAGGAGAATTATTCCTTAAGCCGAATGGCTGAGTTGTTTATTTCGGGGATTGTTAAATATCACGGGGTTCCGGTTAGTATTATTTCTTATCGGGATCCTAGGTTCACTTTTAAGTTTTGGGTGGCGTTCCAAGAAGTTCTTGGCTCGAGATTGTTTTATAGTATGGCATATCATCCCCAGACAGACGGGCAATCCGATAGGACTATCCAGACATTAGAAGATATGCTGAGATCATCGGTACTACAGTTTGGTGACGTTTGGCATAAGCGTTTGGATTTGATGGAGTTTGCTTATAATAATAGCTACCATTATAGCGTCGGGATGTCACCTTTCGAGGCATTATATGGTAAATCTTGCCGTACTCCTCTTTGTTGGTCAGAAGTTGGTGAAAAAGCATTAGTGGGGCCAAAGATTGTAAAGAAGACTACTCAGAATATTCAGGTAATTAAATCTAACCTAAAAGCAACTCAAGATTGACAAAAGAGTTTGGCTGATAAGCATGCTACTGATAGTGTATAATGTGGGAGATTGGTACTTTTGAAGTTATCCCCATGGAAAGGCATAGTACAGTTTGGTAAGAAAGGTAAGCTAAGTCCTTGATACATCAGACCGTACTAGATCACCAAGCAAATTGTTGAAGTTGCTTACATACTTGAGTTACCTTTAGAATTGGCTAAGGTGCACAATGTTTTTCATGTATCTATGCTTCGCCATTATGTTGCTGATCCATCACACATATTACCTCCTCAGCTGTTAGAAATTAATCCAGATTTAACATATGACGAGGAGCCAGTGATGATTTTGGATTGGAAGGATAAGGTTATGAGGAACAAAACTGTTTGAATGGTGAAAGTTTTGTGGAGGAACCACTCAGTGGAGGAAACCACGTGGGAAACGGAGGACTATATGCGAGATATGTATCCACACTTATTTTATGGATATTAGTGGTTTGTTATGTTGTGTATGAAATTTCAGGGACAAAATTTTCTTAAGGGGGGTAGGTTGTGACGACCTGTCCTGAATTAAAATATAATTTAACCTCAAAAGCGTGGAAATGATGATTATGCCCTCAAGGCGATGTGATGTGGATGTATGCATATGATTTTAAATTATTTTGGGGTTAGTTTTAGCCCTAGAATCCTATGGCCCAATCAAGGCCTTGTTTCCCTTTTATTTTGGCCTATCCCGTGACAAACATACACACAACCACACGTCTACAACCTCACCATCCCTCTCCCTTTTTCTCGAACACTCTCTCGTCCGTATACCCGAGACCTGCGGCTCACTATCACCTCCAAAACTTCATGGATCGAACACGAGCTTCATGTCACCATGTTTTTCGTGGTCTCTCGAGTCTAGTGACACCTTTGGAATGAAGAATGGTTCATAGGAACCGAGAACTTAGGAGCTGTGGTGGGGTACTCCATTTTCCTGACATGATCGTCGAGGTTTTTCTTGGTTTTGAGACTCAAAAAGGTATCATGCAACATCTCTAGTGTTTTAGATTAGTTTTGGTTAAGGTCAAACGCCAGAATAAGCTTGTTAGTCGAATTGCAGGTTTAGTCGGAATTTCAAGAGATTTTCCAACGATTTCTCGTCGAATTTAGGACCCCAAATAGGTAAGATCGTGTTTTTTAGTTGAAGACTTCAATTTGATATAAAATTCATGAAATTTGGTGTTGAAACGATTGAGATATTGAGATTCAAAGTTTTTCCAGAAACGGGTTGTACAGCGGCCGCCGGCGACGAATTCCGGCGAACTACCGGAGAAGACAGAGCATATTCCGTCAACTTTGACGGAATATTACTAACGGCATCAAGTATATTTAACAGAATATTTTATTATTTAACTGAATATTCCATAACGGTGTTAGGGTTACCATCAGCGTGCCAGGCACGTGCCTACGCATGGCAGAAGCGTGTGGCCATGACTTGGCCAGCGCGTGACGGCGCATCAGACATCGAAATTTTTTTCTAAAAATATGGGGATGTTTGTAGTGTTGAGTAGGCCACGATGGTATATTCAAACACTCAAATTGAACAACGTATGAGAAATTATTACATGGTTTTAGTTATGAGCTTAAAATTAACGTTAAAACAGTTGTGTCACATATAGGCGAAACGTTCCCAGAGGACTTGTGCAACTAGGCATGACTTGGCGGTTACGACCTAGCTACATACCAGTGAGTGGGCTTTTGATTTTCTATATATACGTATATATGCTTTACGTTTTCCCATAAATAGTTTTAAATGGTTTTATGTTTTAAAATGCCATGTTATATTTGCTTTATATTTTAGCATATGATTTAGTGTAGCTTTGCATAATATTGCATGCTATTACGGAGGCCAAGGTACGTTCAGGTGAGTACACATTGTTGGTATGATTACATAGTAGTTAGTGATAAGTTTGTGTGTAGAATTCATTGTCTTGCACCCCGGTGTTAGTGCTCCGCCCGAGGCCAAGGCTAGCCTTCACGGGTCATTCACCTCCCGCACCACACGCTCACCTTGGATCCAAGACAGGTGCCAGCCTGTCGTACAGACCACATTAGGTGGTTCCGACTCGTAGGTGACTTGCGATACTTCGCATAGCCTTCACATGATCGTAGCACTTGTGCGTATTCATTTACACTTAGCCTATCGTACAGACCACATTAGGTAGTTCCGGCTGGTGTGCAGGACTTAACTGATGATTTATAGACTCAATCATATAAGTCACATTAGGTGACTCCGACTGATATGTCATTTTATATTGATTCATTTCACTTGGTTTAGGGTTTAGGCATACATATGGGTTTTGCTACTCTCGAGCATGGTTCTTATATACGTACGTAGTACTATTTTCTGGAAAATTATACAGGTTTTACGGTGAGGGGTTATTACTTTTGAAAAACTTTTTTTTTACCCACTCACACTTTCTGTTTTACGCCCCTCCAGGTTCTAGATAGAAGTTCTTGTTGGTGGCTCACGAGGATTTCATGGTGATTCTAACATACATCCATCAGTGTAGGGTTTCTTTTATGATCTGTATAATTAGTAATTAGACTTCTGGACTATATTCTGATACCTACGCTCTAGTTGTGTGTTTATCTACACTCTAAACACTTTCACTCATACTTATATGCTAATCTAGTGTAAATTAGTTAGTTGGTTTTTGTGTACCCACATTTTTATATCACGTTCACTTATGCACAGTGCACATGGCTACGTCACCCTCACGTGACAGCCAGCATGCCTCGATTAGGGTCGGGGTGTGTCACCTTCTCATCGATTGGACCTTTATTGAAATAAAAGCTAACATAAATTTTACAAATATGAAAATTTTGAGTTGTTGACTTGTATGTTTCTAGGGCTAGACCTCGCATTCGTGTCGTGTTTCCCATGTTCATGTCATTTTCATGTCATACCTGATATCTTAACAGGTCGTGTCGTGTAACATCCGTTAAAGTAAACATGTAAAATGACCCAACCCGAAATCGACCCAATAATATTAACAAGTAATATGACCCGACCTGTTACTGAAGGAAATTTTGTGAAAAACATGTTCATTTGAGCAACATCTATGGCATGGAATTAACATTTAAAGGCGGAATCATGCTTGTATGCACTCAAAAACAAAACTTTACCCATGAAATTCAAAGCCTAGTAGAAAGGTGAACCAAGACTCAACTCAAGAACATAGTGAGTTGAGATATTTTATACCCTTGTTGATTCCTCTTTGCATAAGCAAAGACTAATCACCCAAGGAGAGGGCCTTCATTCCTTGCTTCTTAGTTCCATCGATTTCTTGGAGGAGGATGGTAGAAAGGATTCTCCAAGTTCCCAAAGTTGAGAACCTCTAATTTTCCACACCAAGGAGGGACATGAAGAAGAGATGAGTGACCTTGGAGGATGAGAGATTGCTAGCTAATCTCCTCCAAGGGGGCTAGCCTCTTAGAGAGAAAGGGAGAGACATGTTCTCTCCAATTTTCTCCAAAAGAAACCCTAATGAAGAAAAAGCTATAAAGTCATATTTATACCTACCTTCATTGGAGTGGCAAACTTGTAATAAGTCCAAAACCCACTCCTTTATCAATATGGCCGGCCATAGGGTGTTATTGGGCTGTTTGGGCCTTTATGAATATTTAGTCATTAAGTTGTCATACAACTTAAGTCAATGGGCTTGACATTCGAAGCCCATTGGGCCTTGAGGCCCAAAACTAACCCGAGGTCTTTAACGAACTTTATTCGTTTGATTAATTAACATATTAATTAATCATTGCCATAAATAATTAAACCATTTAATTATCCTTACTCATCTCCATTGTTTCTTCAATCTCTACCTTACACAGTGTACGATCCATTAGGTTCCTTTTAGCGAGGCAGTGGGCGATTAGAACTCTTTCAAATCGATTATGAATTGAAACTTACTTTCAATTCTCCCTTTAGTGATTATACATGTTTAGGGCTTCCACAAACCATGAGTGACACCTAGCAGTATGTCATGGTTACCCAAGCTAATCAGAAGAGGTGGATAACCTATTCAGTTTAGGATTACAATGCAATACGGTATTTCTCTAATACAATACTCTTAACCACATTGTTTGGTTTGATAGTTTAATCATGTCTACTATCCAATGTGATTCTTTTACTTATATGATTACCTTGAATGTGATTTGGAACGACTTCCTAAATCTTATTCATACTCTGGCCAGAGATTCTTAATCATATCATAGAGTATTCTTCCTCAAACAGTTTGAAGGTTAGAGATCCCTTGTTGCGCATTCCCTTGCCTCTATGGCTAAGTGGCTTAACCCCAACTATGTCGTGGACACCCTCTGACGGAGTGACTTTGACATAGTCAAAGATCAAGGACCTAACCACAACTATGATGCCTCAGGTCAAAGGACTACTTTGACCATGATCATGTGGTATATGAGGGAAAAAGGTGACTCGTCATTATTATTTTGTGAAAAACATGTTCATTTGAATAACATCATATAGCATGCAATTAACAATTAAAGGCGGAATCATGCTTGCATGCATTCAAAAACAAAACATTAACCATGAAATTCAAAGCCTAGTAGATTGGTGAACCATTAATCAACTCAAAACAAAGTGAGTTGAGATTTATACCTTTGTAGATTCCTCTTTGCATAAGCAAAGGCTAATCACCCAAAGAGAGGGCCTTCATTCCTTGCATCTTAAATCTATGGATTTGGATGGATGAAAAGGTTTCTCCAAGTTCCCAAAATTGAGAACCTCTAAGTCTCTTCACCAAGGTTAGATTGGAGAAGAAATGAGTGACCTTGGAGTAGTGGGATTGCTAGATGCACCCTCCAAGGGGCCGGCCTCTTTAGAGAGAAATGGAGAGAGACATGTTCTCTCCAATTTTCTCCAAAATAAACCCTTAATGAATTTTGGCTATAAAGTCATATTTTATACCTTTATTCATTTGAGTGGCAAACTTGTAAATAAGTCCAAGTTCACTACCCTTAACAATATGGCCGGCCATTAGGGTTTATTTGGGCTTTTGGGCCTTTGTGAATCTTTATTCATTAAGTTGTCATACAACTTAAGTCAATGGGCTTGACGTTCGAAGCCCATTGGGCCTTAAGGTCCAAAACTATCCCGAGGTCTTTAACGAACTTATTCGTTTGATTAATTAACATATTAATTAATCCTTGCCATAAATAATTAAACCATTTAATTATTCTTACTCATCTCCATTGTTTCTTCAATCTCCACCTTACACGGTGTACGATCCATTAGGTTCCTTTTAGCGAGGCAGTGGGCGATTAAAACCATTTCAACATCGATTGTGAATTGAAACTTACTTTCAATTCTCCCTTTAGTGATTACAC